GTTCAAATTCCATAAAGCTATGACAAAATATGAACAAAAGAAGTACAAGAAGAATAAGATCAGTTGTTCCAGAAGAGTAAGCATCTTCAGCATCAACGACGACACCCGCCATGTAAATCTTGGTCAATTAATGCAAGTAATGTCATGTTCTCAAATGAGCACAAACTATAAAACAACAGAACCAGCTGGCAAACTAACGAGCTTCATACCATACAAAGAAATAGAATATTTCTCAATGATACCACTTTGGCGACCACACAGTTCATAATTTTTCGAGGATTAAAAATGGTGCTGATGAATGTTATTAAACGATTAAAAAAAACCAAAAAAACAAGCACTTTTATTCCAGTATTGAATGGATGAGCTTAGGGTTCAAGTCTATTGCCGAAACTAGCGAAACGTAGTTAATCACGTGCACGTGATATGATCCAATTCAATAGTACCAGACGGGTGTGAATTAATTGTGAAGTATCACCTCATTATAATGTCAATAAAACGTTTGAATGGGTAGTTGCTAGCATTAAGTATAACAAATTTAGACACACTTTTGAACACGGCAGAGAAGGATATCACAATTTCTCATCAATTCGCTTTTGCATGATCAAGTCATTTAATCACAAATCATGATCGGTTTCAAAATGAACTTATTTCAGCATTAAAAATAACTTTGATAAATACCGATATTTCATTGGACGAATAATAAGCTTACCAACCATTTCTGTCACCATAACATTGAAAAATGACTAATCTATAGTGATTATTAACTGTTGCTATTACAGACAGTAAACATACTACCGTTTGATAAATGCATGGAGAAAAGCTTTGAAATATGCATTATTAACTATATTCTGGATACTCAACATTCACACCCAATGAAAGTTTTCAAATGAATTTGATTCAAATTCCGTTAAATATGCACCTACCTGGTTTCGTAACTCCTGGTGTATTGTAGCAAACCGGCTAGACCCCGGACAAGCACAGGTAACTATGGAATGTTAACAACATGCAGCATAAGTCTTATATACATACTTTTAAACGATTCCGTGAAAACTTCTTGTGGGATTCTTACCGAGAACTGAACAAAGGAAGCGACCCGTCCTATTATCTTTATTATATTCACGAATGTTCAAAACATTATTATACAGGTTAAGATACAAAGAAACAAACTGTTGACAGAGTAACCCGATATGACAGCGAATTATATCTATTTGCTAATCGAAAATCAAACAAACCAGGTTTAAATCGACCGATTAATACCGAAATTATAAGTCATACTGGCAGGCCGTATAAAGTTACCGCGAGGTTGAGCAGTACACGAACGGGAAATACAGTATTCTATCAAAATGGATACCAATTAGGAAATGTAATTATCTTATCCAAATACCACTGCAAAACACAGTCTTATCTTGTTGCGATAAAACATTCAAAATTAAAAAGAGGTTGACAACAAACGGAGAGGATATTCGTCCAATAAAGAACAGCTACAAAGTACAGAATGTATTGTTAGCAGAATTGAAATTATGAAAACAGAGAGTAATAACGAAAAGAGACATTGTGGAGTCTGAATTCTTTTACGAAACCACATGTCATAGTAATACTATCAAAGGTAAAAAGATATATGTTGGAAACAAAGAGGTGCTCTTCGGAAAGGATTAAGATGGTGAATAAAAGGACAATTAAAATGATTTGATATGGATTAAGTTGTGATATTTCAAAAGTACTTCCAACAAGAGTAAGGCCTATAGTCGCTTTCATTTGGTTTGTGTTTTTTCTTTCTACTAATCGCTAACCTGGTCCCACTTCAGCTAATCCATCACCTTGGATTACCGCAGTTTGTAGTAGATTACATACATTATATACGTTTTTTATTTTCTATCTTTCTTTTCAGTAATTCTAACAAGATACATCAACCTATCTCACACTTGTTATGTGAAAGAGGAGGAGGAGGAGGAGAGGAGGAGGTGTGTGATCAGCTGTCGAAATTACTTTAATCAAAATACAAATAAAAATAAAACAAATATAGAAATGAGTGGGCTTTTGAGTCATTCAGTATACATGTACATGTATGTGAAATAAAACGACAGATTGAACGTTTCTATTGTTGTAAGAGAACCTTTGAGTTTCGCCGGTATGATAAAAGCATCACGAGAGTTTTTGTGTCGGTCAGTTCAGCATTAATCACTTCAGTTGCTGAACTATCATTTTGGTTGACCATACATCACAAGTTTGAGTTTCAAGACTATTTCAATAAACATTATTCAAAAGAACTTTAGTGTATTAGCACCAAAAGAATATATGTCACTTTCTGTATGAGTTTCCCAATTTTATTATTTTCATTTCTATATGTATTAACTAATGTTTTAATAGCTAATGTATACCTTTAATTGAAATGCCTTTATTTTTGACCTGTCAATATATGTTTGTTAAAAGAACATTTTCCCCAATTTTCTTCTTTTGTTTTTCTTGGTTGGTTTTAACGTAGGTTGGCTGTTGATCGAATAAACCATTTCGGATTTTATCAAAACTTTAATCGAAAATATGTCTTTAATGAACAATTTAAAGTTGTCGGAAAACATATTTATTTTTGCTTAAATTTGATTTTGCAGCTTCATTTCATTTTTATTATCAATTTTGTAGATAGAGCACGCTTTACGCGATCGTCCAAAATTGTTAAAAAGGGGATAGCAATCTGAGAGCCAAGCTCTTGGATTAATGGGAAAATTAAAAGTTAAAAATGAAAGCGCTCAATACATTAATCAGTCAACGTTCATCCAACCTGATCAAAAACTTCATGCTGATTTGCTGATTTAAGAAGATAACTTCCCCTTTTCATTTTCCAAATCAGTATATTCAAATATAACTTGACCAGGATGAATATTATCCAGGGGCATATTTTTAATACCTTGTTGCTAAAATTTCCACTGACTTTGACTGTTTTCCAGTGTTGGATAGCAACGACCCTGCATCCCCAACATATAATGTTTACATGCTGCTTCAATATTCAGGACCCAGTTCCAAATATCATGATTTTCATGAAGATGTCGACAACTGACAAATTCACAACCCAAGGTTTCGACAAATAAAGAAAATTATGGAGAGGGTGTATAATCGTCTTAGTCATTTCATTTAGAAAGTTCTGTGTGTATTATTAAACTGAACGCGTTTGCATGTTTGTTCTGTAATGTATACCTTTTCCTTACTTGGAAACGTGACGTTACTTACTTACTCGATGTTTATGACAAGTGTTGTCTATGTAGTAGAAGACGATTACTCTTCCGGGACGTTTGCAGGAGAGTCCTTGTTAATGTTTTTTCTTATGCTTTGCCCTAGTTTTATTAAATTTGATTTTGATCACATTTTTCTTGTTGAATTTGTTAGTATTGATAATGGAAGTAAAACGTGTTGATAAAGATTTGATGGAATAATCAAACGAGTCACAATTAACGCGCCCTGTATATGCATTTTTTGTAAAGATTTGTATACATGGAAGGCTGCAACATTGAAATGCTTATCGGAGTATATATGTTGTGTGTGTAAGGATAGCATGGAATGCCACAATGTCATCAGGCTTACCTTATCACAAAGGAAAATTTCGTTGTGAGAGAAAAAAAAGAAACTCATACTGGAGGGATTTGCTAGAGTAACGGATATGTAAGACACGACAGATTCTTCTACATCTGTCGGTAACCTCGACCTGTTTTTACATCTTCCCACCCAAACTGTTCATTAAGCGCGGTTATTTCAATTTTACTGATCTCACTTGGAACTATTAGATTTCTTTCGGCGATGTAGAGTTGGATGTATTTGGTGTTCATTATAAGCATGGTGGTCGTATCCTATATGATAGACTATATCTAATAGTGTCTTCAGTAAAAACAAATATATTAGACACTAGAGTGAAACATATTTGTTACGACTGAAGACACTATTACATTGTTACATTTACACAAATAACTGGCATGTTTAGAACAAATATAGAACGAGCTGACTAGGCTTTTCATGGACACTACTCATTCATTATAACGCGAAAATTACAGCCATTTTTATCGCTAAAAATATATAAACACAAAAATAAATTCAATTTATTTTTTTCTTGAAAATGCTGCTTTTTCATGTTACTAAGATACAAAATTTGCTGTAAAAAGATAGTTTAATCTGTGACAAGTTACTATGCGGATGAAAGTATGGCGGCAACAATAACCCCTTCAGATGTCTGTTTTTTTTTTGTTTTTGTACAGGTGCAGTATGATAAAGTGAAGCCCAATGTAAAATGAACCGCGTTTCATTTCACCAGTTAGGTGATATAACCCCCTATAACCTAACATACACTATTTTCTTACTAATTTGTTTTGCTCATCCTAAATTTCCCCACACCAGAATAGTGATAATTAGAGAAGAAATTGGTGAGGAAAAGTTAATCAGTAAGAAAAAGGTGAAATGCTTTACTATACCACGGCCCTGCTAAGTTATCAATTATCAAGTGAATATACATCAGTTGAAAACAAAACATATTGTGACTTCACTTTATCATGGAGGGTTCATTTCACCATTATGGTATTATGACCCCGGTTCATTTCCCCATGCTTCACAATACCATGTTACACTGGGCTTTATGATTTTTCAGATGATTCGTGTTCTCTCTTTTCATTGGCCTGTGTCTGCAAAAGGGTAATTTTTCCCTAGTGGCGGGTATTTGCACCGCTCATTAACCAGAAAGGACTTAACCTTCTGTAACACCTGGTCTATTTATCCTCTTCATCGGGAATCCCTGTGTTATCTTTTCTTTTGTTTATATTTTACCCTTGTTTAATAGAACATGATATTGAATTCAAATTTTATTTACATGCGTGTATTTTATGGTTTTTTTTATCATTATCATTTATTAAGTATACATAGGATATATATGGTATTGCAATATACTTTTCAAAACCTTTTTCTCATTTATTTTATGTTAAAAGCAATCTTAACAATAAATTAAAGAAATGGAGATATTGCTGCAATTATCGAAGGCGAAACCCAGTGAACATTGACAGGTTTGTTAGTATATCAGATCCAACCCCGTGACCAGCTACACGTACCCACACTTCATCTCCGACCGCCAGATATGTAGCAGCTGTTGCAGAGCCTGCGATAGAGTAGCTCGTATCTTGGCCAGTTTCAGCAGATCCAATGATTTCATTGTTGCGTACTAGAGTAGTATAAATGTAATGATGACCCATTACAAATACAGACCAAGAGAAAACGTGAACTCCTGCCTGTGTACAGGTAAAAACGCCGGTGCTGGTGCTATAGTGGACTCCTCCAGTATTTGTTATAAGATGGTCGTAGATTACTGGATGATTTGACGTTGGATCGTTTATTTTTTGTGTAAGGACAGCATGGAAGGCCACAATGTCTTCAGCCGGACCTGGCGATATAGGTGCAATTTGTTACAAATGCCATTTTGTGGAGTAAATCAAAGGTTTAAAATACATGTTTATATATAATAAAGGATTGAAACATTGCGTATTATTTCTATATGAAACAAAGATATAAATATATGACCATTTTCTGTTATGGTGAGCTGATATCAATATTTACATAAAATTCAAACAACTCCATAATCCACTTAACAACAGGAAACACTTACTGACACGAGGAATTCTGTTATTTTTGGACAGGATCCCACCCGACCTCTGGCTGGTTTTAGTGCTTAGTATTCTAGCATATGATGGCTGGTCCTCGTACTTTGTTTTCGCTTCTTTCGCTTCAGGTGATTGCCGAGGCAATGTTACCTCACTAGCGTTATGGTACAGGCTTTCCTTATGAAACAGGATTGGTATTTTGTTCGAAGAATCGTGTACATTGTGTCGAAACACGTCACAATTACGTTGTAATTCCTCAATTTCTTGAGATAGCTTTGAGGTCACTTGTAAATCGTTCCAACGGAGGCGTTCTAAAATTTGTACTTTTTTATTTAGCCTCATTATTTCGAGCCTATCATTTTTACGCAGCCCTTAAAGTTTCTCTATACGTTTGGTTAGCACATGGACGTCATTATAGCGTAAAAGCTCCAGTTTATCCATTCTTTTAGTCAATGCCGATAATTGATCAGTAGTTGGTATCGTCTGGTCACTGGTAAAAGCGTCACTCGTTGCTTCTGAAAATGTGGGATCATTTTCCATATGTTCCGTTTCACTAGAAACTAAATCTAGCAATGCATAAATGAACAGCATTCGCGTTACTATAGTGATGTTTATCATATTTATTGTTAACCGAGAGAAACACACGACTGACAATTTCTCGTGATATATATTATCTGGACTGAATCTGTGCTCAATCGAATGTTTGATCCTTAGGAATGTCTAGACTTCATGTCATATCTACGTTTGACTCACTTACCTGATTTCTTATCGCATAGTTTGGAAGGTCTTGAATTTGAATTCAAAGGTTATTATCTTTTCTTATCTTTGCTTTAAATATTTTCTAAATAGATTTTAGTCTCTTGTATCGTTGCGGTAGAGTAAATTATATTTCTGTATCAGTTTAATGTTTTTTTTATTTAAAACATTATTATGTTCCAGATACATTGTGTCACGGTCGGTTATAATTCATGATAAGTTTTGCCTTCAAGAGAAAAATCTAATGAGAGGTCGGCACTATCAGACACAAAAACCCCCAGTGGAATAAGAATGACATGGGACACAATTGAAAGTTATCCAATACGAACGATGCCAAAATTCTATCAATGTATATTCACAATTTAACAACTATGTCAATTTGTATACTGCGAAAAAAAAAAGAATATTCAGTCCTGTTCCAGGTGCCCTTAATGGTTGTTCCCGAAAATAATGTATGCAACATACAACGTCTTTGATGTAAACTAATAGAAAAAAAGTTGAAATCAATACACGATCTATGCACTAACAAACTTGTAAATTAATGTATCTATGTATATTATTCTAACAAATAATCCTTATATTCTATTGATTTTCAGGAGATTTTGGAACCTGAAAATGAAGCTGAGTTGTTATCGCTAACCGTTGATAAGAATTAGAATCATTGCAATCACTTAATATTGAAGTTTTAAAAGATTTGTCGTATTCTAGGACAATTCGCCTCCCAATCTGGTTGTGACATTTCTGGGCAAAATTTGGTTTTCCTTAGTTTGCCTTCTAGGTTTAAAACTAGGCCCTTGATATTGCTTGCAATTTTACCATTATATTATTGACAAACAGTTGTGACCGCATTTTTCTTTTCTTTTTGTCTTTTGAATAATAAATATACTAAAGTTATAATGGAAGTACTTACTCTAGTCTTTTGAACATTCGCTATGATTGCAGGCGTTAGACAATGCAGAAGGTCAAAGTTCTCGAGATTTTTCTGTAACCTGCACGCCACGTTTTAGTCGAAAAGAGACACGATTTACAATATAAGCATGTACGTGACATTCTTTTAAAAATATATTCAATATTGAAATTTATGAAATGTATTTTGGAGTTAATTTTATCTTTAATATTCATTTCGACCAAACCTGAGTTTAACTTCATTTCTTCTGAACGACCGGTTTACATATGGAAATCACGGGGTTTCTTCTTCCTTTAACCTTTCCTACAAATCGATACTAGTTATGAATGACTCAGCTTATTGTCACCATATTTGTCAGAAGCATTCCCGTGGAAAGAAAAAAAATTCTGTATCAATGGAGGATCTTCGGCACCAAAGGGCCTGAGAGGTGTGTCAGAAAATGTATAGCCGATTCTTTAAAATCCGTCTTCTTAAGAAATGATAGAATTTTGCCCAAATTTCGTGTAAAGCATCCTTATGTTAAAACTGAATGTCTGGATCCCCTGGGGTCAAATGGGTCAGAACCAATATGGAGAAACAGTAATAGTTTTATAATTTGTTTGTAAGAAGGTATTTTGACTGTATTTGGTCTGAAGTACGTTTGGAATGGGAATTTATTTTTTTACAAAGTATGGACGAGAGAATTTAGTCAATAATATTTATAAAAAGCTTTAACATCTTTCATTTGTTGTAAGGGCAATGATACGTTTTTATTTCGATCACAACTGATCGAAGGCCAAATAGGAAAAATGGAGAAGAGAAAGGGGAAAGGTGTAAAATAGGGTGAAGATATTTTGACAAAATTTAGTAAGGAATATCTTTATATAAATGGCCCTGTGGGATCCGTGTTCTCAGTTGCCTTCAGTAATATTTTTTTTAGCATCACTTATTCGTCATTCATTTTACTATGTTGCTTTTAATCATAAATTTGCCATAAAATGCTAAACATTTATTTGTCTTTCATAAACATACACACAACGACAGGAACAGAACAACATCAACAAATGAATAAACTTTGAAAGTGATTATTCACAATTGCAAAATTGTCGTTATCTTAAGTCCTCCATAGAGAATCGGGTGACAATAGTTTCGTGTCCGTCCGACCTTGCCTCCTTCATCTTGTAAGAACTTCATCTCCTACACTGCTTACTATAGGGTACCCAAACCATGCTCGGGACATAGATTATCTAAGTTTTAAATTCTTCATATTATGCATTAAAGCTACGCTGTCCCAAATCGCCGACAAAATGTGTATATTATATCATATGGGCTGGTCCTATGGTCGGCCGGAAATATATCATTTATAACGGAAAGGGCGTGTTTGTCCTTGTGTAATGTCTGGCAAAACTTTTGACCTATTTCAAAGCTTTGTTATAATCAATATTTTTATGCAAATATTTCTTCAATAATTACAGGTATATATTGATATTTGTATATGGACACTGTTAAATGTGAAATGATGGCGAGAAAGTTAAGTGGTAACTTAATTTGTGCTTTGTGTTTCAGTAACCTTTTAATTTTAAGCTGTCTTCCCAGCTAGTACAGGGTAATATAAAAACTTTAGCTGTCAGGACACCTTACTCGTTGACCGGTTTATATGTCAAATAAGACCGTTTGGTGACTACTACAGATTAAAGGAAGCTCTACATTATTTCATGCCTTTTTTCATTTGATAATTGTTTAGTTGATAAATGTCATATATATGTATATTGATAATATCCTGCATGTAGCTAATCAGTGTCGTTGTAAGTTTTTAGGCTGAGCAAACATCGGTCTACCTCTCTCGCCCACGCTTTATGAAAATTAATTCTCATTCTTCTAAAGATACTTCAGACCAAATATGGTCAAAATCTTTCTACCCTCATACAAGATAGTACAAAAAAATTGGAGTTTGTACCTGTATCTGAAAGATTTGGGAGGGAATAGATAACAACATGTATGTAGTCATCAATAGTTTTAAGGTCTCACAACCCTTTGACCTTGGTGATCTTCTGGAGTTTGTTCGTGTAAATCTATACTTTTGTATTACCTCCCCTACTTTGAAGTGTACTGAAGCATCAACATTTTAACTAACCATGTAATAATGCCAGCAATTATGATTAACAACCTCACAAAACATGTGGTAATATAATCGCAGCATTATGGTTAACATAACTGATATGGATACTACAATTAATTTTTTTATGTATTTGATTATATGAGGATACAAGTATTGGGTGTATTGGCTTGAAATCTACAGGCATTTACGTCAATACTTATGTACACTATAAAGGAACCATTTTCGCGGAGTCGACCTTCGCTTTCGTTGTCTTTACGATAACTTTGTGTCCTGCAAAATGATTATATTCTAATAAAAAATGAAGAAAACACTGACATAAAAATAATATCTTTTCAAACTCAAATTCGAAGAAATTAGAACGAAGTATGAACTCCACTCATGAAGGACACTACTGGGAAAACTACAAGGAGAATGATACCATGTGGTCCGGAAATGTAAGTGACTTTTGATTCATATTCATTGACCTGCATCTATCGAAACCTTGTGTTGAGAGTTTGTCAATTGTCGACACCTTACAACGTACTAAGCAAAAACACTTGTCCAACTGTCGTAACTGACGATATCGATTGCTAAGGAAAATACATGTATTGCTTAAAGGATTTTGGTGACGACGTTTCATGAACCCATGTTTTAATCGAAAATAACAAAACAATGACTATGCAAGGCTGTCCCCCTGCCATTAGTCCAGTGTTTCTTCCTCGAGAATGAGATTTTAAACATCATCTAGATATTATACGTTCAAAATCGTTTTAAACTGAAAGCTACTTTCATATATAATGAAATGTTCACATATCGATGTCCGACAGCAAAAAAACAAAGTGGTTTATTTATCTATTTATTTAGATTTCTAAAAAAACATAATTTCGTGAAATATAATTATAGAAATGTAAATATACTGAGATGTAATTGTTACACAAGGTACATTCGTATGTGTACTTTATTGTGTCGCAGCATGCCGCAAATGGATATACACAACAACACTTAGGAATAAAACTGGTGATCAGAAATTTAATTGAAAGCAATTTAGTTTTGTCGTATTTTAATGTATATTCTCAGAAACAATAACAGTAATACGTTTCAAGACCGAACCAAACTTGAAAAGAGGGTTTTTAAAAGAACCCCTCCAGGCAGACAATAGAAATGAAGGTGATGACTGGTGGTATTGTTTAGCCTTCGTGTTTGTAGTAAATGATTGTATCTTTTATGAACCTGTTCTAATAATAAAAAATAATAAACATAAGAGCGTGTTTGGTGTACACTGTCTTGACATGAAAAACAGTTTGTCCTATTTGTCTATCACAAATATTGTAAAGAAGATATGTATTTATTTTATATATACAATGTATATATGAAATCGCCAGTTCACTCTACCTCGGAAATAATTTCATGATGCAGTTTAATCCATAGTTTGGCTCAATTGTGTCTAACTCTAAAATCAAAAAGTGATATTCACTTGTGTGTCTTTTGTACAATCTTTAAATCTACTGTATCTAACTGTAAATATCAAAAGGTGTTATTCACTTATGTGTCTTTTGTACAATCTATTATTTTTTTAAATAAATTTTTTTTCGACAAGGTTTTTACATATTACACAATATACAAGAGAATCCACACAAAAACACACACCCACACTCTCACACTTGTGTGCTATGACTTGAATATCTCTTACACATATACATGTATCATCATCATCATCATCATCATCATGCACATGCATCTACTACTTCCTGAATACAAACTCACTCATCAACATTCACACCCACTTACACTCACATAGCAAACTTACGTGTACTTAAAAAAAATGCTAAAATACAAAATTATATCACCTACACTTATCAAAGATAGTTCCTCACATATATATACTCACTCATAAATGCATATATAAAAATAAAAAAGAATCATTGTATATCCTAAACAAAGAAAGAGAGAGAGAGAGAGAGAGAGAGAGAGAGAGAGAGAGAGAGAGAGAGAGAGAGAGTTAAAAGCATTATTAAATAAAAACAGCACTAATTTTGTGGAAACTAAATAAATTTGAAGTCAGTTTAGTAAAGTCAAGGTCATGGCCATTAGGAACAGACTTGTTAGCATACATTCTATAGTTCTAAAATGGGCATCCGTATTTTCCAGTCATTCTCAAATTCGTTTTCATAATAGTGTTTTTGCTAGAAATGTACTTTTGAACATGGAAATGATCCTAAATCTTATTTATAAGAGCATTTAAATTAAGAGATTTGTGTAGACATCTTGACTTATAAACATAGTGTTTAATGAGAATTAAAATTTCGTTATCTACAGTGTTAGCATTGGGATGGATAATTCCAAATAAATATGTTTTTGTTTATCCAGAAAGGAATCAGAAGAATATCAAGAAGAGATTCAAATCTCTCCAATAGAGTCTGTACCTCTATACACTCCCATAGACAGTGAACGATTGTTTCTCTTCCCATATTACACAGTGTACATAAAGGGCTAGGAATTAGATTAATGTTGAAGAGAAAGGAGTTCGTAACCAGAATGTGATATATAATCCTTACTTAAAAACTACTGTAGCTAAGAACACTTTTGTAATAGTAAACGGAATTATAAATAAATTTTCCACTTTTGATCATCAAAGTCAAAATTATCACTCCATTTCCGTATACCAGCAGGGGTTGGTGCTGGTTTGATAATAGAATTGTAGAAATCTTTGGCACGTTTTTTGCTTTTCTAAAAAAAATCAAATAGAAGTGGTATAAAAGGCTGAAATAGTACAATTTTTTACTCCACTGTACCTAACTCTAAATTTCAAAAGGTGATATTCGTTTGTTTATCTTTTGTACAATCTTCATGACTATGAATTACGTATTTCCACTTGTTTCTAATACTCTAAAGAAAACTTGTATACGCAATTTCAAAATACGGACTTGGTTACGTTACATATAAAGTTACATTTTCGTATCTCCTGTCAAAACACGTGATAGATATTCGTATTAAAAAAAAATAAAAAATACAGGATTTCACTCGCAAAATCCTTTAAATCAATTAATATATATGGTTTCGCTATTGAATTGTCGCTGGGGTTTAAATTTTTATTAAGCAGTCTTGATACCAGTAAAACCTCTTGTTTATGCTACGTTTACTGACACATGTACACTATTAACAGAGTACACGTGTCATTTTGTATATATTTCACGGTCTGTTACAAAACAATTTTACACCTGCGAAACTGAAATCATGAAAAAACTGTATTAAAGTAACTCTATATTCATATTCCATATTTAATGACAGAATGTGTAATCAGAGGAATACACACATATATAATCGGTACTTCGAAATGAATTTTCTACTAATTTATTAATTTCACCGATTTATTGGCTCAAGTTTGTAAAGAATGATATATGGTGTTTAGTTAAAGTTTAACATACCACTGTCAATCAAAGATATCGCGAAAAAACAGGATTAAATGAGAAATATTTGCCCTCGATATTATTGTTTACACTTCAGACACGGTCAGTCAAAGTCACATTTGCGTCACATGTACCATGCATGCCACTTGACCGGTCACCCATACGTAACGAGTCCTTTCGACGGCTTAAATATAGGTATAAGCACATATTTATTTGGCGCCATATCGTTGGTAGTACAAGCGTTATTTTGGTTATGGTGTAATAGAATTGACCCTTTAACGCAAGTACAAATGTACTAGATAGGCAATATATAGGAATGGTGCTGTCTAAGAATGTGAATAACACGGTAACGAATACAGCTATTCTCATAAACTAAGCGAGAGATAAAAAATGGTACTTATTAAAATCACTATACACAAATCCATTACTTCAAAATTAGTTATAATATTGATAATGACGTCATCATTATTTAATGTTTATCATATAGTATGGATGTTTATATTTTTGCATTGGTTTGTCTTGTACTTCGACAATTCTCTTAACCATGGCGTTTCGTACAATAATGACTTGACCTTTTTACACTCAAATACAAAATAAAAATGGTGCTGATAGTTGTAAGTTCATTTTGTATGACAGATATAGTATGATACTACATTTTTCTCTCCTTCTAAGATGACACATTTTAAACTCCGATGAATGACACAAATATTCAAATATCGGTCGCGTTTTGCAAACAGCCAAATATATAACATACCAACAAATCGCTCAATATTCCTTTTTTTAATATTTACAAATTGTGCCAGCAGTTTTATGAAATATCAAAAGTTCGTCATATCTGTCTTTGGCAATGTGTATATATATATATATATATATATATATGGATGTTAAAACTGTTCTACTGGTGCGTACGCGTATGTGGTGTATACATGTGTGTTTAAAGTGTGTGAGCTTTCTTTAAGATTACCCCCCCTTAGCAATGTGTTTAGAATGATTTAATGCTGCATTTGAATATAGAATTATCTGAAATTTTCTTTTTAACTCTTCAGAGTTGTCAATTAAATCTGATAGAATGAAGGTAAGCTATAAATGTAAAAACATAGCCCTTACTATTTTAGAACTGAATTATCTGTGAAATTGACATATGAAATTGTAAAACGACGAGATACATCAATATATTGGGTACATTTTCGACAAGTAGCATATTTTTCAATCTTCACATCGATATACTGAAGTTTATATGAGATATTGTGCTTATAATGGGATAAGTAACTAAGACATCCAAATAACGGTCTTTGAACGTTGACATGGCAACTGACTTCGATCTTCACCAACAACTCGCCTCGAAGATATATAGATGCACTTAAATGTTTACTCAACGACATCTTTCCCCGACAAAGGAAGTTGGATGTCCATTCGTCCATTTGTTGATATCAATACCTGCACCGTTAAAAAGTACATAATATGTACATTTGAATATCGTATTCTTTAATCTCTTATAAAGGATAATAAAATCAGTGTGCTAACAGTTGGTCGTTTTTAAAAATTTGTTTATATTTAAAATGTTTAAAAAAATATGTACATGTATACATTATACGTACCAGCTGAACAATGTTTGTCCGATGACCTGTCATATTCGTAATGATTTATTTGCATTTGTTTTGTAATTATATTAGAAAAATGAACGCAACAGGTATAATGACCTCTATAGTCGGCACAGAGAAGCTTAATATGGCGGGACTGACGTCATCCCGGGGTTTTAATCATAATATATCTTTCAGGCTAAGGTGCTTTAATTTGTTATTTTCTTGTCGTTCAAAACAGCTTAATAGGGATCCTATATACGTGTTATCAACACAACAGAGATTAAACATATAAACAATGAATGGCCTGCTCGTCATATCAGAGGTTTCTTCCTGCGATGAAAGACTGTTTGTTGTACCGGCTCCCTAAGAAAGCATGGTTCGTGTCTTGGTTCCATATATTTTGCTTCTGACATTTGCGTCTAGAACTGACACCTCTTCTATAAGTGATGCAAACGCACTTTTCAACAATTTATCTTCTGGTTATAACAAGGAGGTCAGACCAGTCGGTAACCAGGGAGACAGTTTACCAGTATATATTAATATGTTCCTTATTTCTATCAAGGATTTTGATGAAGTTTCTGGAACACTGAGTATCCTCGCCGTATTTGTTATAAACTGGAATGATGCGTCCTTGGTTTGGAATCCAAGTTTATATGGTGGGTTGTTGGAAACATACATCGGGCAAAATAATGTATGGCTTCCGAAACTCTACAACATCAAAGCGTCAAACACATTCTCTGCCATCAGTAACGCTGATTTTTTGGTGAAGATAAGCAACGACGGTGAAATCATTTGGAAACCCGGCTGCTTCATAGACGTCAAATGTAGCACGGATGTTTCGTACTTTCCGTTTGATACACAAACGTGTTCAATACAATTAGCACCATGGGGTTACTCAAACCTACAAGTCACGCTCATGCCACAGACAACAGACCTATCACTGGAGTTTTATGAAACCAATGGAGAATGGTCCTTGGATAAAACTAAAACTGGTACTGATGTTATCAGCGATATTAGTCTAGCTGTTTTTAATATAACAATTACAAGACTTCCGGCCTTTCACATTGTCAATACACTGATGCCTATCTACTTGCTACTGTTGATGAATCCACTGGTATTCATGTTGCCTTGCGACTCAGGAGAACGTGTTGGATTTAGTCTGACCGTGTTTCTCACCTTTACCGTTTTTATTACTATCGTCAATTCGGTCCTTCCAGCCAACTCAGAAAGCATGTCTAGACTCTCCTACTTCATCTTTGCTGTCCTCGTCGCCAGTGGCATCATCGCATCCGTCAACATTTTCCAACTTCGCATATACTACAGGGACGAAAATATACCGGTGCCTAGGTGGCTGGTCAGGTTCATGAACATCCTCGATTGCCAATGTAAGTCGAGAAGAGTCAGTGCGGTTATTCCAAAGAAAATTGAACCAAAATCTTCAAACAAAAATCTCAACAAGACAGGACCGATGATCCAAATGGAAGAAGACACAGAGGAGGAAACAAAGTATGAAATGACATGGCATGAAGTAGTGCGCATTCTGGATACATTCTTCATATGGTCGTCCTATACAGTAATAACTGCATGTGGCATTGTTGCTCTACTCCTAATGTATAAGGGCACATAGATAATATCTGGTCGACAAAATTAACATTTCCGAATGAAAAACATTTGTCATTCCAATACATATTTTTTTCTGGAGAACTGCTCATTTGAAATATAAGATAGGTAAATTATTGGTAATGTTATCTTCTTTGTACATGACATCTATTTTACTTCAAATTTAAAGATATTAAACTCGGATATATCCTTGAAAAGTCTCACGAAGGAAAACGTTTACATGTGGTTCCATTCATATACTGGATGTCTTATGTAATATAAATTAGGTATCATTGTCCGAAACAGAATGTGTTATAGTTACAAATTTAATTGAATATCAAATGGTTAACTAAATATATACTGTCTTGATAAGAACACTAACGAAATCTTTGAATCAGTCCAGAGGGTTTATTAGTTAAAGAACTAATGATAAATAATGACTTTCTTACCAATATAGAGGTGATCGCTATCAGTATAACATTAATAATTGATGTCCGATAACAATATTTCTTTCCTTTCGAGTGTGGTTATTAGAATGTCATAAACTTTGTCTCATTTAGCATATATTTGTATTGTGTGTTGATATGATAATTAGTAATTGAAAATTTCTAATATAATGTAAATAAAATTAAATCGAAATTTTCAACAAGCTCTGAGTTATGTACTACCGATGTTCCAAACTGTTTGTTTTCTTGAACTTTTGACAGTGATTTAACCGGAAACAAATACCTTAATATTATCCCATAATCATTTATCTGAGATTAGAGGAGAAACAGTCAGTCATGTATTACACCAAACGTCACTATATGAATCATTCTCTTGTTTCCACCAAACAAGCGCTGCCTTTTCAATAGTTGGAGTCCTTTTAATAGGGATAATAAGAAAAAAGTCGTTAAAATCAGGTCAGTATGTATGCCTGTCGCGTCATGGTTAATGTCGTTTATTACAGGTGGTCAGTATGTATGCCTGTCATGTCATGGTCGTTTATTACAGGTGGTCAGTATGTATGCGTGTCGTGTCATAGTCAAAATCATTTATTACTGGTGGTCAGTATGTATGCTGTCGTGTCATGGTCGTTTATTACATGAGGTCAGTATGTATGCCTGTTGTGTCATGGTCGTTTATTACAGGTGGTCAGTATGTATGCTGTCGTGTCATGGTCGTTTAATACAGGTGGTCAGTATGTATGCATGTCGTGTCATGGTCGTTTATTGCAGGTGGTCAGTGTGTATGCCTGTCGTGTCATGGTCGTTTATTACAGGAGGTCAGTATGTACGCCTGTCGTGTCATGGTCATTTATTACAGGTGGTCAGTATGTACGCCTGTCGTGTCATGGTCATTTATTGCAGGTGGTCAGTGTGTATACATGTCGTGTCATGGTCGTTTATTACAGGTGGTCAGTATGTACGCCTGTCGTGTCATGGTTGTTTATTACAGGTGGTCAGTATGTACGCCTGTCGTGTCATGGTCGTTTATTACAGGTGGTCAGTATGTACGCCTGTCGTGTCATGGTTGTTTATTACAGGTGGTCAGTATGTACGCCTGTCGTGTCATGGTCGTTTATTACAGGTGGTCAGTATGTACGCCTGTCGTGTCATGGTTGTTTATTACAGGTGGTCAGTATGTACGCCTGTCGTGTCATGGTCATTTATTACAGGTGGTCAGTATGTACGCCTGTCGTGTCATGGTCGTTTATTGCAGGTGGTCAGTGTGTATGCCTGTCGTGTCATGGTCGTTTATTACAGGTGGTCAGTATGTACGCCTGTCGTGTCATGGTTGTTTATTACAGGTGGTCAGTATGTACGCCTGTCGTGTCATGGTTGTTTATTACAGGTGGTCAGTATGTACGCCTGTCGTGTCATGGTCGTTTATTACAGGTGGTCAGTATGTACGCCTGTCGTGTCATGGTTGTTTATTACAGGTGGTCAGTATGTACGCCTGTCGTGTCATGGTCGTTTAATACAGGTGGTCAGTATGTATGCATGTCGTGTCATGGTCGTTTATTGCAGGTGGTCAGTGTGTATGCCTGTCGTGTCATGGTCGTTTATTACAGGTGGTCAGTATGTACGCCTGTCGTGTCATGGTCATTTATTTCAGGTGCTCAGTACGTATTCCTATCGTGTCATGGTTGTTTATTACAGGTGGTCAGTATGTATGCTGTCGTGTCATGGTCGTTTAATACAGGTGGTCAGTATGTATGCATGTCGTGTCATGGTCGTTTATTGCAGGTGGTCAGTGAGTATGCCTGTCGTGTCATGGTCGTTTATTACAGGTGGTCAGTATGTACGCCTGTCGTGTCATGGTCGTTTAATACAGGTGGTCAGTATGTATGCATGTCGTGTCATGGTCGTTTAATACAGGTGGTCAGTATGTATGCATGTCGTGTCATGGTCGTTTATTGCAGGTGGTCAGTGTGTATGCCTGTCGTGTCATGGTCGTTTATTACAGGTGGTCAGTATGTACGCCTGTCGTGTCATGGTCATTTATTTCAGGTGCTCAGTACGTATTCCTATCGTGTCATGGTTGTTTATTACAGGTGGTCAGTATGTATGCATGTCGTGTCATGGTCGTTTAATACAGGTGGTCAATATGTATGCATGTCGTGTCATGGTCGTTTAATATAGGTGGTCAGTATGTATGGCTGTCGTGTCATAGTCAAAGTCGTTTATTACAGGTGGTCAGTATGTATGCATGTCGTGTCATGGTCGTTTATTGCAGGTGGTCAGTGTGTATGCCTGTCGTGTCAAATTAATGGTCGTTTAATACAGGTGGTCAGTATGTATGCCTGTTGTGTCATGGTCGTTTATTACAGGTGGTCAGTATGTATGCCTGTCGTGTCATGGTCAAAGTCGTTTATAACAGGTGGTCAGTATGTACGCCTGTCGTGTCATGGTCATTGATTTCAGGTGGTCAGTACGTATGCCTGTCGTGTCATAGTCAAAGTCGTTTATTGCAGGTGGTCAGTATGTACGCCTGTCGTGTCATGGTCATTTATTCAGGTGCTCAGTACGTATTCCTATCGTGTCATGATCGTTAATTACAGGTGGTCAGTATGTATGCATGTCGTGTCATGGTCGTTTATTACAGGTGGTCAGTGAGTATGCCTGTCGTGTCATGGTCGTTTATTACAGGTGGTCAGTATGTACGCCTGTCGTGTCATGGTCGTTTAATACAGGTGGTCAGTATGTATGCATGTCGTGTCATGGTCGTTTAATACAGGTGGTCAGTATGTATGCATGTCGTGTCATGGTCGTTTATTGCAGGTGGTCAGTGTGTATGCCTGTCGTGTCATGGTCGTTTATTACAGGTGGTCAGTATGTACGCCTGTCGTGTCATGGTCATTTATTTCAGGTGCTCAGTACGTATTCCTATCGTGTCATGGTTGTTTATTACAGGTGGTCAGTATGTATGCATGTCGTGTCATGGTCGTTTAATACAGGTGGTCAATATGTATGCATGTCGTGTCATGGTCGTTTAATATAGGTGGTCAGTATGTATGGCTGTCGTGTCAAAGTCATGGTCGTTTAATACAGGTAAATAAAAATAAAGTAAATACAGGATACCAAAAAATGAAAACAATGTACAATTCTTCAAAGCATATTAGATTTTAGGTGAACGGCATTACTACTGTGCCACCCGACCACTATAAAAGTAGGTGAAGTTAGTCGGCGATAACATCATAACAAAGGTTGGATACTATAATTATATATACTCAGAAATGCTGATACATTGTTTATCAAATTCGTATTGTATATCTATCTAGGAGACGGCGGCAAACATAGATCGCTGCATACAAGACATGGCAGAAATCAAACTGTGTTGTTGCTTTTTCTTCACGATCTTTATTTCCATGATTCTACAAGCAGTAGGATTTTTGTCACCGTATTGGGTCTCATGGGATGATTGTGATGCTCAAGGACTCTTCTACTACTTAAACTCGAATGTGACCGCAGGATGCTATGGCCCAGGCAACTGTGAGTTTGAGATGTATAATTTGCTGTTATTTTTTTATTGATGAAAAATGTACTCTCACTCTTTCATCCTCATTAAAGTGTACCCTGAGAGGTCAGCTATGTTGAGCTTAAAAAATAGTTCTGCACATAAAATACACATTGCCGAAAAAGCGAATGCCGTGGAATGTTCCGTTAATGAGAAATTGCGACTTTTCTGAAAAACATACCTTTGGCTGAGATACGTTGACCTCGTTTTCGGGCATCCAAACCTGTGACGTCATAAGTTCAACGCTTTTGCTGATGCTGACATATTGGCATTACTGTACTACATGTGATTGTTATCTGTTTTGGGATTTTCCGGGGTAATTTCTTTGTTTATTTACGTGAAAGTACTTCACATTTTCGCAATATTTAAGGTAGTGAACGAAGGGTCGGTTAATTAGCGCTTAAATCCGCTAAAATGGCTTCCTATCGAGGAGGGAAGCGGTGTGCAGCATACGGTTGTCCTAACGGTCCCGGAGTTTTCGTACCGAAGAATTTCCGTCTCGAGTATTTTCGTCTTGAGAATTTTCGTACTACTATTATAGGTGGTCGGTTGGCGCAGTGGTAACGCACTCGCCTTTCACCTAGCCGACTGGGGTTCGATTCCCGGAACGGACGTGAAAAGGTAAGGGGTCACCCGACCACGTGGGTTTTCCCCGGGTACTCCGGTTTCCTCCCACAATAAGACCCCTCGCGCGCTTACATCCGGGCCAACAAGAGTGATTAATATAAGTTGATATAACTTGTTTCGCAATTGTTGTAAAATATTTCCAATTTGGTATAGTGTAATGAAAGCAATGGATCGGACTCCGCCGAAAAGATGTTATTTTCCTCCTCAATGGATACATCGTCTTGTAATTCCGGTTCAAATCCGTAGGGCTGGATTCCGTCTTCAGAAATATCATCCAAACCATTATCAGACTCCTCAAAACTCATGTTTAAATCGCTATCAGGTGCGGTGTCGTTGTCACTGTCAGTCATGTTAGCTGCCATTTCTGTTGAACTTATGACGCCTCGATTCCGCGGAAATGAC